CCTCCTACCTCTTTGACCTGCTGACTCCCTACCAACCTGCCCGCTCCCTCTGTTTCAGTGGACTCCGATCTGCTCCATGTCTCCCAACCGACCCGCCCTACCATCGGTGGCCGGGCTTTCAGCCTCTCTGCCCCCACACTCTGGAACTCCATCCCACGGTCCCTTCACCTCGCTTCCTCCCTTGCCTCCTTCAAAGCCGGTCTCAAGACCTTTCTCTTCAATCGTGCCTTTGGTCACCCTCCCACCTCTCTGCCTTGCCTCACCCCTCCACCACCCCTCCCCCATGCTCGGGCCCCGACACCTGACTGTTCAGGATTTTGGGACGTTCTCCCGACGTGAAAGGTGCTCTATAAATGTAATTTTGCTGTGTTGTTGCTCCTCTCAAAATGCATCACTTCGCATTTCTCCACATTAAACTTCACCCGCCACGTGTCTGCCCATCTTACCAGTCTGTCTATGTCAATTTGCAGTCTGCTACTATCCACCTCACTGTTTATTACTTTTCCGAGCTTAGTATCATCTGCAAACTTGGAAATTGTACTCTCTATACCCAAGTCCAGGTTATTCATACAGATCAAAAATAGCAGTAATGGGACCATTACTGACCCCTGGGGGACACCACTGCACGCTTTCTGTCTCCCAGCAAGTTCTGTATCCATGCAGCCATTTAATACCATAGGCTTCTATTTTGCTTACAAGCCTCTTATGTGGTACTTTATCAAATGCCTTTTGAAAACACATATAAACGACATCAACTGCTCTACCTTCATCCACCCTCTCCGTTACTTCATCAAAAAACTATCAGGTTTGTTAGACACGATTTGTGTTTGACAAATCCATGTTGGCTAGCCTTTATTAACCCATATTTTTCTAAGTGAAAAAGGAGGATTGAAAGATTGTGGTCAGAGCCTCTGTTATTTTCACTCTTACTTCTCTCAGTAACCTAGGATGCATCCTGTCCAGACCAGGTGACTTATCTACCTTTTTAGTACCTCCTCTCGGTTTATTCTTATCTTATCCAATTTCTCTACTCTCTCCTCCGATACTGTGGCATTGGCAGCATTCTCTTCTTTTGAGAAGACAGACGCAAGGTACTGATTCAATATGTCAGCCATGCCCTCTGCTCCAAAAAAATGTCCTCTTTGGTCCCCAGTTGTACTCACCCTACTTTGACTAACCTTTTATTCTTTATATGCTTATAACATATCTTAGGGTTCCCTTTTATGCTACCCGCTAATCTTTTCTCATACAATCTATTTGCCCCTCTTATTTCCCTTTTCAGTTCTCCTCTGTACTTTCTAAATTCTATTTGATTACCTTCTGTATTTTGGACCTGACATTTATCATAAGCCTCCTTTATCTGTTTTATTTTCATCCCAATTTCCTTAGTCATCCAGGGAGGTTTGGATGCCCTATCTTTCCCCTTTGTGGGAATATATTTGTTCTGTCCCCAGACTATTTCCTCCTTGAAAGCTTCCCATTGCTCATTAGCTGGTTTACCTGCCAATCTTTCTTTCCAGTCCACCTTGTCTAGGTCCCTTTTTAACTCACTGAAATTAGCCCTCTTCCAGTTGAGTATCTTCACCTTTGATTGCTCCTTGTATCTTTCCATAAGTACTCTTCTGAAACTAATGATATTGTAATCACTGTTGTCCACATGTTCTCCTACTGAAACCTGCCCCACTTCATTCCCCAGAACTAGATCCAGCACTGCTTCCTTCCTCATTGGGCTGGAAACATACTGATCCAGACACTTAACCTGCACACATTTCAGGAATCCTTCCCCCTCCTTGCCCTTTACACTGTTATTTTGCCAGTCTATGTTAGGATAATTGAAGTCTCCCATTACCACTACTCTATTGGTTTTGCATCTTTCTGAAATCTGCTTGCAGATTTGCTGGTCTATCTCCTTCCCACTATCTGGTGGTCTATAATATACACCTAACAAAGTAACAGCTCCTTTTCTGCTCCTTAACTCTAACCAAATAAGATTCTGTTCTTGGACCCTCTAGCACATTGTACCTTTCCAGGGCCGTAACTGTGTCTTGAATCAGTATTGCCACCCCCCTCCTTTTTTTCCCCCTTACCTATCCCTCCTGATAGGGATACATTGTAGCCAGGAATATTCAGCTCCCATTCCTGCCCTTGTTTGAGCCAGGTCTCTGTTATTGCCACTACATCATGACCCCATGTGGCAACTTGAGTCTGCCTTATTTGTCACACTCCATGCATTTATGCGTACGCACGCCAAGACCAAACGAGTCTGCTCTGCATTTCTCTCCTGTCTAATCCCTCCTTTTTCTGGATTATTCCTTATTACAATGCTGTTCGTCTGGCCTAGCCATCTATGAAACTTGTTTAACCATATGTTATTGATATAATAAAATCTTTGGTTACGGCAAGGATTTGAGTCCCAGCAGCTAGTGACATGTTTGCATAAACCATAGAAACACAATCCATGTCTGAGTATCAATGGCGAACGTGCATGATACAATCTCTAATAGGAAGCAGCCATGAAGATTATGCTTTGCCTTCTAGCAGCCCTGGCACACTAGAGAGTACAATCACACCCTGTTACAACCGTAAACATGGATTTGTTTCTATGAACACGCTAATGTCACCTAAGTTGCCCTCTCTATTTCCACTCTTGATTTGATGTTGTGACCTTTCTGTCAGTCAGATATCAAGTCGTTTATGAAACTCAACTTTCTTCTACTCAACATGGACAAGATTGAAGCCATTCTCCTCAGCTCCTGCAGATGCCATCTTGCTTTTGCCTCCAATCTATTCAACCTTCCTAGCATCTCTCTCCAACTCACTGAAGCAGTATCCAACCTTGACATTCAGTTTGATCCTCAGCTCCTTTTCCTCTCTCACATCCAGTTCTTGACCAAGACTGTTTTCTTCTGGAACTTCCTCCTTCAGGAACTCAACCCCTCTGACTTGCCCTGCTCTATCTGTTGTCTAAAGCTACATGAAAACCTGTTGAAGTAATTTTCCCAAATTATACAGTAATTATCAGCCAAGCATCGAGTCATTGCACTATTGGCTTGCAGAGAGAGGCAACGGACTGACTTCCAGTTAGGTGGATACCAGCTTAAATCAACAAAATAGTCAAGCGGTATCCCATGAACAAGCAATACAATTGAAGCACAACTCATCTCCACTCCGTTGTACATACAGCACTACATATTGGGGTGAAAACTTGGTCAGCTGATGTGATAATTAACACTGATGATAATGATCACCAGTGTTCATTACCACATTATTGATACATGTTTCCAATGAGGCTGGTCACTAACTGACAACAGTCGATAACAGAAAATTAGCTCTGTTTAGTTATCGAGTGCGATCCTCAAGCCCCCCCACCCACCCCACCTCTTCCCTCCCCAGTTTCTTGCAATGGTTGGACCTAAACTTAGTGCACTACATCATCGTATTGTTTGTTCATGGGATATCGTTCACTATTTTGTTGAGTTAAGTTGGTATCCTACGAATTGGAAGTCCACTGACTCTCCCTGCAGTGCAATATATCGATCTGTGGCATTGGGCCCAAACATTGCGAGAGCCAGGTAGACAATCACATCTTTAGTCATCAACTGGCCTGACTGACTGTAGCAACAATGCAATAACTTTTCACTCCGATACAGCAGAATTTCTTCTTCTCTAACATATCAATTCTTGAGCATCTGCCGAATGTCTCAGTTGAAGCCAGTACTCCTTATCCACTCTCCAAGGAGGAGTCTGGGTAGACTGGGCCAAGGTGGATAGTCTGGATCACATTTCCTGAGCCAGGCATTTAGCCTGAGTAATGTCACTGCTAACACTAGCCAACAATAAAGTGGGCCAACTGAATTCTGGCTCTTCCACAGCTTGAGTCAGTGCACAATCTAGCTCTAGCAAACGACCATATTTACAACATCACACGAGCAAACCCATTTAGCACCAAAGTGTTGATAAAACAGAGTCTGCTAGGTCTTCAGCAACACTTGGATAGAAACCAAATAAAACAGTTGCATGCAAGAAGGCCTAAACTGACAGACCCCTCTCTACCTTGTTAAAATGTAAACGCAGCCAGCTCATTTCAGTTTGAAATGTTTTTCAAGGTCACTGTGCAATTTCTCTATCAGCGTTCCCCTACAAAATGCATTCATCACACTTTCCAGTAAAATCCTGTGAAACGCTTTGAGAGTTCTCCTAATGTGAAAAGTGCTATTTCAAATGCAAGAATTATTCTCAAAGAAAGGCAAAAGTTCAGATTACTGATCCTGCTGTCCCCAGGCAGCAGCTCTTTACTGATCATTAAAGAATTCAAGAGGTCTTATACCTGCTTCTGGATTACAAGTTTCTGGAGGCAACTGGAGTCTATTATTCTGCAGTGTACTGTGGGTCTGTGTACAGGGTTCACCGTGGGCCTGCCATGATGTATTGGAACTGAGGAACACTTCTAGTGCATAGTGTGAAGAAGTCAAATTTATCTCAGTGTTTTCCGGCTTTCTGTGGTGCGTCGATGATAACAATGGAAATGTCATTGGTTTGAGCCTGGATCAGTTGGTAACACTCTTCCCCTTTGAGACAGAAGGTTGTGGGTTCAAGCCCCACAATGGGACTTTGAACTCATAGTAGCAGACAACCTTTGTGGTTGGTCAACAAAATAAATTTTCTTGATTTAGGCCATATGCCAGTTTCCTTACTTCACACCCTCTGTTTACCTAGCAGTAAGTAGGAACCCAGTTGTTAGTCAATAAAATAATAATATGGTTACTCAATGCATAATAATAATACTTGCATTTGACATTTTCATGTCTTCTAGACGTCTCAAAGCGCTTCACAATATATACTGTAAAGTGAATTGACTGCATATTTGTGAGCAAAATGCAGCAGCCAATTGCACACAGCAGTGTCCCACAAACAGTCATGGATTGAAGTGACCAATTTATTATTGTTTTTTTTGAGGGATTAATTTCAGGTGTGTGGAGTAAGGAAACTTGCCCAAAGTTTTGCCCTGCTGGGAATCAAACCCAGGTCTCTCGCTTGCCAGGCAAGGGCTCTAACCACTGAGCTACAGACTCCAGCATGTTTGTGAGACACCACTGAGTGCAATGAAGGTTCCAGCACCATCAAGCAAGCATAGGCATGATAGGCCAAGTGACCTTCTCCTGTGCTGCAGGACTGGTAGTTCTAGGAGTGGTAGTTATTTTTTTTTAAATTGGAGGAGAAGGGTAGGAACCTTTTTTTGAAAAAAAATACTTGTGTGGCTACAAAATCAATAGACTAGGAAGGTTCAGTGGAGTCCTGTAGCTCAGTGGTTAGAGCACTCGCTTTGTAAGCGAGAGACCTGAGTTCAATTCCAGGCAGGGCGAAACCTTGGGCAAGTTTCCTTACTCCACACAGAGCCTAATAATAATCCCTCCAAAAAACCAAAAAACAATAATAAATTGGTCATTTTCAATCTACGACTGTTTGTGGGACATTGCTGTGCGCAATTGGCTGCCGCGTTCGCCCACAAATATACAGTCAATTCACTTTACAGTGTGTTCTGTGAAGCGCTTTGGGATGTCCTCCTGACGTGAAAAGCGCTATATCAAATGCAAGGATTATGATTGTTATTACATTGAAGAGGGGGTTTGCTTTCTAGCTCCCTGTCAGTGTATAATGGCCGCAGCATTAAGGTGGGTCTGACTGAAATGATTTAATTTCTTGTCAGTACTGGATTGATTAGGGAGATTTAACTGGAGTTCAGCTGATCTCAGAAGTGAATACGCAATTCTTTCACTCATATCCAGCATTGAGCAGAGGCTGCTCCTTTCCCTGCACTTGACCTGTACATTGACCTTTAACATTTTTTAACTACAGCAACCAAATAATGGTTTTAGTTCCCAAGAAAATAACAGAAATTCCAGACATTTCTGACAGAAAAAGTGGTAAATGGGTCCTAGACGAACATTTGCCAGTTGCCAACATTTTTCTTTTATCAACTTTCTCAAAAATAAAGGATCATTCCTGTTACCCATCCTAGGTTACACACATTATCAGAGACCACTTGGGTAAACACTCAATTTTACCACAAAGCTCTGTGTCCTATGGGTATGTACCTCTCTGGCTTGGTGGAGTCCTGGAGGGTATTAGTTAGAGCATGCGTCTCGCAAGCGAGAGATCCCGGGTTCAATTCCCGGGCAGGGCAAAACCTAAGGCAAGTTTCCTTACTCCACGCGCCTCTGTTTGCCTAGCAGTAAGTAGGAACCCGGTTGTTAGTCGATTGACGGATTGGAGCTTTCCAGGGATAATAAACCCTTGAAAAATAATAATAATTTGATCACTCAATCAACGACTGCTTGTGAGACACTGCTGTGCGTAATTGGCTGCTGTGTTTCGCCCACAAAATATACAGTCATTTCACTTTACAGTACATTCTGAAAGGATTATTACCTCTCGGAAAATTGATCCAACTGAGTTCCTACTTACTGATAGATAAACAGAGGCGTGTGGAGTAAGAAAACTTGCCTAAGGTTTTGCCCTGCCGGGAATCAAACCCAGGTCCTCTCACTTGTGAGGCGAATGCTCTTCTTGCCAATACACTACAGAATTCCACATTTATTCTGAAGGTTCTCCTCTTGCCTGACTGAGAACAGCTAACTCAGCCCAGAATCCAGGGAGGTGTTTCTTTTGTAGAAGGACTAATTGATTCCCTCTGTGCAAAGGGTATATTTCCAATTACAATGAAAATCCTATTATAAAGATTTAACTAAAAGATTGTGTAAAATCTAAGCATCAAAAAGCCCCACAGTCTGACAAAGCACATGTGCTTTCACCAGGACCTGTGGAACTATGTTACTGATAGTTCTATGCCAGTTCTCTCACCGGGGCTCCAGATTAAACAGAAATCCTGTTGACGATCGAGTGCAACCTTTACTGCCAGGAGACAGTTTTGAATAAATCGGAGCTGTCATCAGTTGCAGTAAAATTGACAATTCAAATTTCATTAAAGCACCAGACATTTTACAGCACCTCTGGCAACTTTCTAAAAGCTTCGTAGATGTCTCTCCCCTTCCCCCGGTATTCTTGGCACTGATGGCTGTGAAAAGTTGCGCTTTGAAATTGGGCCAACAGGCTCGGTGCAGGATTGCTAGCTTCACATATCCCCATTGAGTCCAACCAGCGGTTAATGAAGCATCTCATTGTTTCTTTTGCTGGCTGCCACTCCTTTCTGCTATGGGGCCTTCATAAACCAAACAACATCTTCAGCCCGTTATTGTTCTGCCTGTCCCCTGAAGGGCGAACCTGGTAAAACCCAAACAATGCAGGCTGGAACTGACTAAATAATCGCTCCATTTACTTTTGAGCTGCAAATCTGTTGCAAAGTCACAGCTAAGGTGCAGTGTAAACAATGCAGAATTACTGACGTGGACCTTAACTCTGTGTTTAATGCTGAATTTTCATTGTGGGCTTCTGAGCAAATCTGCAAAGATACAAATGTGATTCTTTCAACAGCAAACTTACCTCGACCATTCTGGTCAGCAGATTCCCCGTTGCCTTTGCAGCGAGTTACCATTGTCAAAGGGCATGCCGGCAGCAATATGAAGGCTTACGTCTGACCGCGCTTTTGGCCACTATGCTAAATAGATGGAATTTGAAAGCCAAACTGAATCTATAGTTCTTCTTGTGGAAAACTACATTTAGGAAGTAAACTAAAGCAAATTTAAGAATTGTTTGAAAATTTTGCATGATCTTAAACTTTAAGATGACGCTCTTAGAGCTAAAACTATTCAATTTCAGACCTCGGGAATCAGTACCCAGCACCTAGAGACCAGTCACTGAACAGCTGTCCCTCCATGAAGTATTTCTGTCACATCTACAGTGTGCAAGTGATTTCCACAAGAAAGCGCCCACCTGGAGCAGTTAACACCATCTTTTATTCTGGCAGTAAAGAAATACCACTGTGATTTGGTGTGCATTACATTGTCGGTGCTCAACAATGAATGGAAGAGTTTTCTTTTCAATAACAACTTCATCCGACATCAATGTACAAGCAAAAAAAACAAACAGGAAATGAACCAGAGGTAGGAAAACACAATGACCATTCCCAGCCAAACTTTCTTTTTAAACAAATCGTAGTTAAAATCTTAGTTGAAAGCTTACAATTAAGTCCTGGGGTAAACAGACAGTTTTGGGCAGATGCTGATGGTAAGGCTGGTGTTTGTTCTCTCTCTTACTCACTGTTCCACCCACACACTCATTTACACAGCTGTGTGTGTGTGTCTGTGTGTGTGTGTTATTTTTTGGGGGGGCAGAGGGGAGGGAGATTTGAGCTGAGTGAGTAAGTGTGGGGGAGGGAATTCAGCTGAGTGAAGGGAGGGGAATTGTGGTCAGTGAGTGAAGTGAGGGGATTCAGGTTGAGTGGGGGAACGGGTTCGGGCTGAGTGAAGGGGGGATTCAAGCTGTTAGCTGTTCTCATTGGTTCTGGAAAGACTGTTTTAGGGATCAGTGGGTAATTGATGGATGGAGCTGGGGGCATGGCGGGCTGGGTGGGGGCTGTTGTCCTCAGGCTGTGCTGACTTCCTTTTTGATTATAGTGAATCCAAAGAAAAATTATCTACTAATTACAAGAGGAAATGGTGCAACAGTCATCCAATTTAAATGATAATAAAACAGACAAGGTTTATATTATTTGTATGGTTTCTAAAAAGCCTCAACTGATAGGCACTGAACTCATTTGCTCCAAATTCTTCAGCAAATCTGTTTCATAAGATTACCCACTCAGATTAAAGGGGTGAAATTAGACACGTTTCATAATCTAGCAATATCCCTTCTCCCCTACCCAGGAGTTTCGCCTCAGAGAATCCCTGTACTGAAATGCTGCCTCAATGCTGAAGGCCGGTATTTGAGTGCAGCAGAAAAGTATAATGATAATAATAATTCTTGCAGTTGATGCAGCGCCTTATCATGTTATCAAAATGCCTCAAAGCGCTTCGTAGGATCTACGACTGTGTCTTTTTAGGTAAACCCAGTGGCCAATTTGCATACAGCAATGCCCCACAAGCAGCCATGAAGTGAATGACCAGTTGTTAGTTGGACAGGAATGTTGGACACCTTACAAAATGTCCCGAATTTTACCCCATAACGCTGATTGCAAAACTACATGGCGAAATATGGATTTTTAAACTGAACATACAAACTCTGTTTTATTTGCTGGACTGCTTACTGATGATAGCAGCCGTACTCCCAGGCTATCAACAAGACATCTTAGAAGTACCTGCTGGCCAGTGCACAAAGGGTCTGATGATGGTCAGCTTCCTTTCTCTGGGTGGGTGGGTGGGTCGGCGGTGGGGGTAGGGGGATGTCTCAATTCTGTGATTCTCTACAATGGGATAGCTGAGACTAGGTACTCAGGCAGCTCAGGGGAAAGAATTTACAGTTTTATAGTACCTTACCTTTCACAATGAAATATCCATAGATATAGCTATATAAACTGCAATGACTTTTTTGTGGACAGTCACATGTACCAGCAAGATCTCACAAACAGCCAAATGACCAAATTATCTGGAGGATAATAATAATCCTTGCATTTGAATATAGCTCCTTATCACATCTTTGAAGCATCTCAAAGTGCTTAATACAATACTGTAAATAATAATAATAATACTTGCATTTGATATAGCGCTTTTCACGTCGGGAGGACGTCCCAAAGCGCTTCACCGAACACACTGTAAAGTGAATCGACTGTATATTTTGTGGGCAAAATGCAGCAGCCAATTGTGCACAGCAGTGTCCCACAAATAGTCATGGATTGAATGACCAAATTATTCTTATTTTTTGTAGGGATTATGACCACCGGAAGAATGATACGCCAATTAACTAACAAATGGGTTCCTACTTACTACTAGGTATACAGAGGCATAAGGAGTAAGGAAACTTGCCTAACATTTTTCCCTGCTGGGAATCGAACCCAGGTCCTCTCGCTTACGAGGTGACTGCTCTAACCACTGAGCTACAGGAATCTAGAATTGCCAACTTGCGAAAGTTCTCTTTTTCAATCTTGCCATGGAATCTTTTATGTCCGCCTCAACAGATAGATGG